TTACCAAAAGCTGCCTGCGCTGTAAACAACCAATCGCCACTGAAGGGAAAGAAGAGCCCAGCTGAACGAGATGGCTGCTGGTGCTAATTTAACATTTGGAAATGTGGCCAACATGGACTGAACAGATTCATTCACTTCCTCTGCTGGAATTGTTAAAACTACAGGCAGATTACAATTCTAAAACAGCGCAGAAAATCAACATCATTCACAACCTCTTCTGTTCGCTGGTTGGCCCGGTAGAAATTTTACCAGAGGAATCCACTTCAACAGGAAAAAGCCCAGACTGAGCTGTGAAGCGAGATTAGAACTGGGAGGAATAGCGTAGGAAGGCGATGGCCAGGCTACAATTATGCACTAATGTGCTTTGATCTGTCATAAAACACCAGCAAAATGCACCGAAACACTTTTTTTTTTGTTACAAATCTAACAAACGTTTAGGAATTTTAAGGGGTATAATTACTTTTGCAACCCACTGAAATTGCTTTTATGTTTAACGGCTTCAGAAAGATATTTAGTGCATCAGGTCGAGGTGTTTATGAGCGCTCGCTTAACCGAACGAAGATCCTCTTCCCGTCTCGTTTTCTCTGCCTCAAAGTTGAGCAGAGTTTGGCTCTAAGGTGCAGCCCAGCTCTGAACTCAGTGGGGGTAACCCTGCATACACACAGAGACACAGCTGCTGTGAAGACAGCAAACATTACAGGGCCCTTCTCTTTTTGTTTTTTTCAGCACCAGGCGAAGTGAGTGGGTGGGTGGTGATGTCGAGGGGGGTGAATGAGGAGGAGAGTGAACAGTGGGGGCGGGCTGAAGGAGTGGAGATGAGGGGAGGGAAGGAGGAAGGGAGGGTTGAGTGTTGGAATGAACTCTCTCAGGCTTTGTGGTGCACGTTTCCCAAGGCCCCCGCCTGGCCCCTTTGATAAATGACACATGTCATTCTGTCAGCTTGTGACACTGCAGCTGGGAGGCCCGGTGATATATGGCTCTGCTGAAAAAGGAAATCAACTTTTTTCCCCTTCTCCCTCTCCCTCTCTCCTTCGGATTCTGTCCCCCTTCTTTCTTCTCCCCTCCCTCCATTCCCTCGGCCCGGGCTGAGTGCACGGCCTTTTTATATATAAGGATTTAGGTTTCCTCTGGTCCACTGAGCCCCCCTCTACACACACACACACACACACAGACACACACACACAAAACGACAGACGAGCTCGCACGTAGACAGGTTGCGGCTGGTTTGTTCCCTCTTGCATGCACGCACACACACAGTCGCCGTGACGCAGCCATTATGATCGCGTTCAAAGCCATAACCTGAGGAAAAGAGGGCAGCGCCACATAGGAGGTGGATCCAGGATTTATGGCAAAAAGCCGAGGAAGTAAACAAAGAGCACACTTTTTAATAGGCAAAAGGGAGGAGGGCGGAGGGAGTGTGGAGAGATTCCGGTTGGGCAGGATGGCTGGTGTCTCCCACTGGGTCATCTGTCATCCATGTGTCTGACTGGAATAGGGGAAGCACACACACACACAGAGCTCTGGAAATGTTGAGCGTACACGCCCACAGACACACACTCGCGCTCCCACAGGAACTGGGATGGACTGAGAAAAGTATGCCACACACACAGCTAAACGAGCAGATACGGGATATGTACGTGAGCGGATAAATATTCACACACTCGAGAGGAACTTTTCAGAGCAAAATGCCTCCACTATCAATCTTAGAGCGATGAAAGAGAGAGAGAGAGAGAGAGAGAGAGGGAGAGAGAAAAAGAAAGCAACACAAAGACACAGTGAGATTTTATTTCACAGGGGCAAATGAATCTAGCCAATGAGCTGCTCCCGTGAGGCCTGCCCTAACCCTCCCTTTCCTGGCAGATTAGCCTATCACGGCATCCTATTGACCTCTTCCACTCCGTGCACCGCCTACGCTACGGGTGAGCCAACATAAAGAAAATCTTTCTCTTTTTTTTTCTTCCTCCCTTCTTGCTTACACACTTTCTTACTCTCAATAATCACATCCTGATTCTTCTTCTTCCTCTTCTTCGCCTGCCCTCCCTTCATCTGTATCCCTTTCACTTTTCACCACTCCTCCCACCCTCTTGTTTCGCCCTCAACGGCTGACCTGTTATCAGCACACAGGAGCTTTAACGGTCAAAAGAAGAAAAGAAAAGGAAAAGAAAGAAGGAAAGAAAAGGAAACACGAAGGATGGATGGCATACACCAAACCAACTGACCTAACATTTTGGAGATTAAATATTTCCGTCATTTTCTGCTCAAGGTGGTCAGGTGGGAGAGAGAGAGAGAGAGAGAGAAAGGGAAAAATAAAATCATGACAGTCCCATTGGCATAAAATTACAGCAATGAGGAGCAGGATTCATGCCATTCAGCAGCTTGCATACACAGGGTAATGAGTAAGAGTTCACCATGTGTTGCTATGGGGACCAGGGCTACTTTTACTGAAGGCGTGCAAAAGAGACAGAGACACAGAAAAGACAGGGAGGAGAGCACTAGGAAGGATACAGAACAGAGAAGCAGGAGAAGTTTGTGATCTGACAGAGGAGGAGTTACCAGTAGCTAGTAACATGGGGGTGTAGATGACGAAATGTGACACTGAGAACAAAGTGTCTTTTAAAGAATCTGTAATCAGTGTACAATATTAGTCTTTTTTACTAGCCTGTGTCATTTTTTCAGAGGTCCCAAATGGCGAAAAGACGAAAAATGTATGCGAAAACGCTCCGTTTTTGTGTTTTCCCAAACTGAATAAAGCGTTCAGGAATTCAAAACTGTATTTAGACAGTCACTTTAGTGTGGAATTTGCAAATTCAAGTTAAATGTCTCAGATACTGAACTAAAGATGATCATATGTAATCCAGACTCATTGAAAACTGGGAAACAATCCTTTAGCTTGACAATAACTGGCAGCTAAGATGTAGATGCTAACTTTAGCATTGTCAGCGCATAACGATTAGCCACTCTATCCTCACCGTCCTTACAACTCGGTTATGACTTGTTTCTTAATTTTGCCAGCAATTCTTTTTTCTTCAGAATTCCCAAGGTTGCTCTGTTGCGTTGCCGCTCACGACGAGCAATGCAACGGGGCAACTCAAGAACTTCTTCTTGTCTTAAAACACTTACGCCGCAAGAACTGACCAAGAAATTTGGTGCTTGGTTGTGCTTGTTCTCGACACATCAGCTGGACAGAGCGCTTTTCTCCCTTAGCATCAGAGAACTGTTCTGTGATTGGTCAGAAAATTTCAAATGGGTTTGGTCACACACACACACACAAAAGGAGTAATGTTTTTATTCTCACTTTACCTTGGAAAGGTTTTCCCAGGAGTTCTGTCCTCGAGTTTGTTGTGAAGTATAAAACGTCCTGCCACCAAAGATTTTTCTCAGTTTTTCCAGAGTATATACAGCCATTTACTTCAAAATAAAGAGTTCCAGATTTAAAGGATCCTTCATATCCTGCCATAGCATAACCTTACTTCACCATTCAAATCAAATTAAAAGTTTGTATTTCATTTGTTTTGAACTACAGATTACCAAATGTGATCCAAACTTACTGAAAACGATCAAACAGCCAATCATGTAAGAATCAGAAGAACTGGTCTAAAAACGATGATCATTTATTGCCTTTAGCAACATAGAGGAGCAACTCAAGAACTACTTCCTTTCTCACTTCAAAATAAGAGTAGTTAAATACAAAACATAACACGTGTCATAATAAAAGCCTAAACTTTCATGCAGATAACGACTTCACAAGACGGGTACTACTCAGACAAGAGACATTGGGGTACCACATGACACCTACGTTAGAACGCGTTTAAGGAAGAGCCACACTGTGGTACTTTCTGTGAAAATGAAGGAGAAAAACTACACTGATTTGTGGCATGAAAACTGTTGAGCTACCAGCATGCGGCATCAGAAACCTCCCAGCTGTGAAACACAGGCGTTATTTCTTAACTTTTTTTTTTTTTTTTAGGATTCTCTGAACAGGAATTTCACCGGAATTCTGCGGCAGGGCAGAGAAACAACAAAAGAGAGCAAACAAGGACCCGCGTAGACCAGACTGTGGCCACCTGGGGGTCACGACCTGCCCACGACCTCGTCAGACGAGTGCGCCGGCTGGAGGGTGCATGCAGGAGAGGCAGGGAGGGACAGGGGACCGCTGGCGGTGGGGGTCTCTCTCTGCTGCAGGGTGGACACATTTATAAATGCCAGAGGGCCTTCACTGTGCTGTCACCAGCACTGGTGTAACAACTTTGTGTATGTGCGTGTTTGAGAGTGTCTGTGTATATGGCCTGGGATGAGTGTTGGGGGCGGCGGGGTCTGGGTGGGATGAACCGGCTCTGGTCGGAGCCCCCTCTCCCTCCCTCGTTAACAAGCTGCCTCTGTAACCCACAGGATATTGCTGTACACATGTAAACAACAAACAGAGAGCGAACCCGCAGCGCCGCCGCCGGAGGAGCATTCCTACCTCTGATGTCCTTCAAGCGCAAATAGTGAAGTCACTGTGGCCATTTTGTTTTTGTTTAGTCTTTCCCCCACCGCCTCCCCCCCCCCCCCCATTTTTTTTTTTTGGTGTAAAAAAAGTTGGACTTGAGTGGCTTGATTTTGCTACGTTTAATCACAGCTGGAGAAGAGGAGGAAGGAGGAAATGAAGGAAGCGATATAACAGAAGGGGCAGTGTGTGGCAGGCTGGATCCGCTGTTTGTACGGGCCGATTTCTTTTTCTTTTTTTTTTTTTTTGGCAGGGAGTAGCCAAGGTCAGCTGATAAACACTACATTCACGAGCCAGGATTGCAGGATGGTGGACATTCTGGAAGCCACCACACACGCACACACACACACCCACACACGCACACACACACAAATACCCCAAGCCCCATTCAGCCAGTCAGAACCCGGCATTCGCCTCAATTAATCACTGGAATTGTTACACCATGGTAATACAGAAAACAATCTCCATGATCACACGCACAAACAAAATTTCAAATTGCTATCATCCATCTCACCTGCCCCTGTTAAAAGCAGAGGAGTGGGTGGTGGTGGTGGTGGAGAGGGAGAGAGGGTGGATGATGGCTGAACCATTCGTTGGCCTCCCTCTCCTCCACCCGCTCTGTTTCTGTTCTCCAGACCCAGCCGGCGAGTTGATGGTGAAAAATTAACGGCAGGCGACCAAACAAGTAAAGGCACCGGGGCGAAGGGAAGTGGGGTGAGGTGGGGTGAGTGGAGGAGGTGGCGGAGGGGGGGATCAATGTGCGGCATCCGTGGCGGGAGCAGCTATGTAAAACACTCGCCTTAAGTCGGCCGCATCCGGTTAATATTTAATCCCTCCATCCATCTCCACAAAGAGCGTTTCCCTTTTTGCTTTAGCTGCCGTTTACTTTGATTACACAAAACGGTTCGGAGGGGGGTTGGCTGGGGTGGGGCGGGGGCAGATAAAAGAACACGGTGAGGTGATTTGCATGGGGATGGGGGAAAAAAAAATATTCTCAGGTTTGATAATCGCTCGGAGCAGCATAATGCTGGAGTGAGACTGAATGGAGGCAGGCCTGAGGAAGGAATGAAATAAAAAGAGGAGAAAAAGAGGTGGGGAGGGGAGAGAAGGTGAGAGAAAAGGCCGAGAGAGATGATAGTTTTGTCATGATGAAAACGACCATAGCTACAGGAAAAAATAGAGAGAGAGAGAAATCTCTCAGAGGGTTTTCCTTATTTAAAACAAGTGATATGCAAATAAAGCAGGAGAAGCAGGAAAAATAAAACAAACACACACACACACACGCACACACACACACACACACACACACACACACACACACACACAAAACAGTGATATTATCTTTCCCAGTTATTTTTTTTGGCAAATGATTTCTAGGGAGGAAAAAAAATCCAAAAGTCTAACTCCCAAGTGAACATGCAAATCTATCTGTGTGTTCCTGGCGAGCTTTTTTTTTTTTTTTTTAAACTCACTCACTCTCGTGTTGCTTTTTAAGCGTTGCTGTTTTTGCTTCCTCCTTCAGCCGATTGAAGCCTTCCCCGTGTTTACTCTGCGGCAGCACTGAAAACTGCATTCATTACAGAGTCTGAGCAATAACTACAGAGTCAACGGCATGACACATCACCATAGAATCAGTAAACATGATGGTGAATTCCATACTGTATGTAGAAAATATAGGCTCTCCCTCTGTATTCCTCATGCCTGCAGGAATCAATGTCCCGCTGACTTACCCATTTCCGTTAAAGCTTTCCAATCAAAGAAAAAAAGTTCAACTGCATACTAAAGACCCTCATAAACCGAGACAAGTGGGTAGGCAGATGCCAAATAAATTAGCGTTTCACTTTCTTGCAGTAAAACCGTGAGATGGTCGAGTAGAGATTCACCGATTACTCGACCAGACGTCAGAGTAAGAAAGATTTCCCGTTTGATTGACGCTCAACAGATCAAATGCGGAAAAACTTACCGTAAACCAAACCTACCATAAACCACTGCATGTACTTTAACTCACTATCGGATTAAAAATATTTGCATCTTTCAAAGAACCTGTGGTGCATTTTTTCCTCTTAAGGGTTACAAAGTTAGACCACAATAGGTGTCGCAGAGAAAAGGCTTGATTGAAGCATCTTTGCTGTTGATACTCAAGCGCACATTTGTCAAAGTGAGCCATCAAGATGTGCAAAAAGTTTGCAAAAGCATGTCCATCAACTCGTTCGATGAAAGCCAGTGAACAGCGGGAGAACCAACAACTCAAGGCAAGTGCAGCACATATCATGCACGAAATGGATCCAAACACTCGTACAAACACAACCAGAGATGAAATGAGGCTTGTTAACCTGCCAGATCTGAGAGCTGGACGATTTATATTCAAAATAGCTGGTGTAAGGCAAGGTACTGCTTCTTGAGGCACCATTTCTGTCTATTTGGGTTGCAAAGCAAGAAGCATTTAGGAAGCAGTAATACCAGCACGCTGGTCGTCAACAGATGTACAATAATCGTGATCCTGGGTGCTACCATTGATCAAGAGATGGGGAAACGGAGGATCTGACTGTTATTTCTCTCACAAGTCGACAGCTGGACCTAGGAAGGGGGGTGGGGTGGCGTACTAGAGGGACGGAGGGACGTGTGAGTGAGTCCGGAGGGGCGCTCAGCGGGCCAGGCAGTAATTCTTAATTGACACCTGTCAGGATAATGGTGGCAGTCGCAGCTGTTGTGGGAGAATTTGTCCGTCGTCCCGTTCATCTGTCAGCTTAAATATCCTTCCTAAAAGCCTCACCCCAGCACTACTCCTTCCCACTCAAAAACAAAAACACCACAACACCAGCGACCAAGATCGTCATTTAGCCGGTACTCCCGAGCACCTTGACATCAAGAAAACCCGATTTTACTCATCGCTTAGCGTTACCAAAACATTGCTTGGATAATCTGTTATTTGCAGGGAAAAGCAGCTTAAAAATCAAAAGACCGCCCAGCGGAAACCCCCTCTCTATCTCGCCTTGACTTCTGCCTGATGAGACGCAGGAGGGAACGGGAAGTTTTTTGCCGTAAACGAAATGCTCAAAAGTAAAGTTTCTCTTTGGTTCCAAGAGAAGAGAAAGGCGCATGAGAGGCGGGAAAGCGCGAAAGAAAGAGGAGAGGGAGCGCTACGAAACGGGAGACACGTGAAAGAGATGGAGAGGCAGAGATGTGAGGAGGATCCAGAGAAGAAGAAGAAGAAGAAGTGGGGGAAGGGAGGGGTACACAGGGGTTTGGGTGTCCCTGGATAGGGCTTTGGTTCTTCTGTAGAGGGCCTCGTCTCGTTTGTCTTGTTTGTTTATTTGTTAGCATCAAAGGGCTGCCTCTCACTCCCCCTGCTAACTGATGTAATGAGTGGGTAAGCTACATGTTTTTTTTTGTTGTTGTTTTTTTTTTTCTGGGGTTTTTTCAAGCGCCGAGGAACTCAAATACTTATTAGACAAAATATTCTGTAATTGCTCATCTTTTATTGATAGTAGTAACATGTTAAATTTGGCTCTAGCAGACTCTCTCGTAGCCTCTTGAGGAGGCACGGCGCTGATCAAGAAAGCAAATTTACCCACAGCTAATGTAATACTTTACTTAAGAAAATTTGAGATATCAATTTTTGAGCCTTAAATGTTGCATGACTAGTTCTCTCGAACATTTCCCCTCTTATCTTCCTCATGTCTCCAACTATGTGCCAGACGAGGAAGGAAAGAAAAAAAATCATATCAACAGTTTTCTATTAATGAGCTCTTAAGTCTTACATCCCCGCTGTGGACCCTTAACAAAATGTAATTACTCAGCACAACACCACTATTACATCGTAATTAAGCACACTTCGCAGAGAGCTGATAACAGTGACAGGAAGCAATTTATCAAAGCTTCTTTTTTTTCGTTCCTTATCGGAATTTCTCAAAAAAAAAAAAAAGTTCAGAGAAGAGTTTGTTTCTGCTGCTGCAATATTTTTAAAAAACGGGAAGAGGGGAAAAAATACTTTATTTGGGTGGAAATTGTTTTTCTATGGCAGTCAGCAGTAAGACTGCTTGTCAGCCCCAGTCCCAGAGGGCTGCTTTCTATCTGTTTCAGACTTGATTTTCTCAGACTTGGATTTCTTTTCTTTTTTTTTCCTTTTCAGATCCCATGACTTGCTGCTGTTTTTATGTGCTGCAAGGCAGGCAACAAAGCACATCTGGCTGCTTTAATGATATGATTTCCCATCATACTAAGCCACCTCCATTATGACCTCCCACAGAGACATGCTGGCTGCACTTAAGCATTAGGTATAGGTGTGTGTCTGTGAATGTGCGAGTGTCTGACGGTGTTTATGGTTCACAGTGCGCATGTGTGTTTTAAAGTGCGGCGAGGGGCAACAGACTGCGAGTGGTGGCGGGAGCGTGCCCCACCCCGCCGGGGGAAAGGATTTTAGTCAGAACACCCCGAAAAAGAATTGTAAAGAAATATAAAAAAAGAAAAAGACAAAATCTGGCGTTAAGATGTAACAGTGAAAACTAACGTGAATGGAGAAACCTCAAGATTAGCTGTTTTTCCCGTTTGATTATTTATCTATGCTGACTTTAGGTTAGAATACCAAAGCAAGCCTTAGAGTTAAGCACGGGCCGATTACCGACAAAATAAAATTTGTGAAAAATCACAAACATTTTTCAACGTGCCATCCTTCGAGGAGGAAGCGCAAGAGTTTTCTGCCCGTCTCTGTAGGTTTCCAGTTGTGTCATCCCCCATTTTTGGATGATGAATTGAAAAGTGCTCTGAGGTTTAAAAGCTTGGGACGGGTGAAGATAGCAACAAAACTGCATCGTTGACTCCCCCCCCCCCCTTTTTTTTTTTTTTTTGAATCTACAGGATCAGCTGCCTCACAGAAAAGTGTGATAAAATGTCACACGTTATATGACATTTTATCTGCAACAATTGGGATTGGAAGGACTAAAGAACAATGCATCATTTAAGTATAATTACACATAAACAGGGTGATCTTTGTGGCAATAAAGGCCACACATTTGCTATAAATGCAGCCTTTGAGACAGATCTGAAAGCTGATCACCGTTCACCAAGGCAGTGTTCTTGAAAATGATTCCTTCGCTAGTAATAGCGCTGCATGCAACAGCCTTAATTTAGTGGTTTGCTAACAAGAAGAGCTCTGACAAACGTTAACTGAAGTGGCGTACGCCTGTTATCAACTAAAAGCGAGGTTCTAGAAAGTTAGCTTCGATTTTTCCATTACGCCATTCTTAAAGTTCAAAATCCTGCTAACGAGGTGTCAGCGTGGGGTTTTCCTCGAACTGGAGGAGCAGTAACCGGCAGGGTGACGCCCATTCCCCATGGTCAGCTGGTCGAAAGGAGGCGACAACGGAACCATATTTGGTGGAAAAGAATCCGTCGCTTGTCACTTATGCTAACATCCGACAAGACGCGAGCTACATATCTGTAAAGCAGCGGAATGCAGGCTTGTGGTCTTTAAACATCAAGGTAACAATGAGTGTATTATATTAGGACTTTAATAAGCACTATGTTATATTATTTATGCAGGTGTAAAAACAATTTGCTTCAAATAAAATCTCTGTGTAAGAGCTGTGATACTGTGATATTTTTACTCAAGGTTGACACACAGCCATGATCTCATTCTAGTCCATGGCTTGCAAAGGCACATGTGGTTACTTGAGGCATTAAAAAGGAGCAAGCTGAGCATGTTTGACCTCTGACCCCCAGAATCCCAGATGTAAATTTAAACTATCGTTTTCAGAGGCCGGTGCAGGAGCAAACAAAAAAAAAAAAAAAAAGCTATTGACCAGGTCAGCTGAAGCCCACCTGCTAAGTACAGCGCCGCAAGCTCTCGCTGTGCCAAACACACACACACACACACACACACTCACTCACGAACTCAGAGGGTGTGTGGAACACACCGGAAGCGAACAAACCGGACAGGCAGCGGGGGGATCAATAGGTGGTCCCAGTTTTTTCAAGGCTTTTGATTGGAAATGGCTAAAAATATGCTAGACGAGAGAAAACCCTGACCGTTCCAGCTCTTTTTCCTGGTCCAACGAGGCAACGGCGGCGGTGGTTGGAGGCAGGAGGGGGGAGGGTGGGGATGAGAAGCGAAGGCTGGCCGTGCTAAAGAGGATGACTAAGTTGGCGTGGTCGCCGCTGCGCTCGTTTGAGTTATTCATTCCAGGAAAACTGACACCGGTCAGCACTGAGGCACACACACTCATGG